GGATCAGGGCAGAAAAGATGCCAAGGGAGCACTAATGTGGTTCCCGAAAGGAGCAGAGAGGTTCTACAGAAGGATGGGTCCCACCCCCAAGCCAAACCCAAGGCAGGAGCGGGGGCGGCCACCTAGGTGCCCTCTCTGCTTATCCTCCTGGGTCTCTGCCCTGTGAGGAAAGACTTGGCCCCAGTGGTGTGAATGTGCTCATCCTTCTCAAATGCAGAGCCTACAGGGCAGGGCAGAGGTTGGGGAAAGGCAGATGAAGGGGCGGTGTCTGACCTGGGCCTCCAGGTTAAGGTGATTCCTGAGGATGGTGAGGATGATCAGGCTGTGTTCCCCACACCAGCCCTGCACCCCACCCTCCTTTACTGGTAGAGGTGGGGTGAGAGGCACTTAACTCCAAAATAAGAAATGAATAAGCAGAAGGGGAGGAGTAAAGAGGCATTTGATTACCTATTTTTTCCCAAGCCGAAGACAAAAGTGGGGATGAGCCTCTACCCCTGACTTCCTGCTGAAACATGGAGCACGTAGGCCAAGAGCCCAGTTGGTAGTACCCCATCATCAGCCTCTCCATCTCATAACCAAGGCCTAACCAGGGCCAGTCTCTCTCCCCTGAACCAATGATAAGACTCTCCTCCCTAAGCTTCCTTCTTCTTCTCTCTCACCTTTTCCTAGTCTCTTTCTACAGCAGGCTGGTTCTGTCATTCTTGTTTAAAACCAACCCTTCAGTGATTCCCAGAGTCATTGGATAAGGCCCAAGCTCCTGACATGTTCTGCACAGCCCTATAGAATGGATCCCACCAGGGATTCATTTTCTGTCTGCTTGTTCACCTGAGTCGCCAGAACCTGGCACAGTGAAAGCTTGCTGGAAGGATAAAATGATGCCCAGTCTGGCTACAGCCAACCTTTCTGGATGCCTCTGCCCGTATGTTCTACACTCCCCATGTGCTCTACACTCATGTGTTTCTTCCACTCCCAGAGGACCTCTAGTGCATCTAGTTCTGTGAGGACACTAGGCATTTAGAAGAAAATCAAGTTTCACATGCTCTTCCCTGAAGAAACTTATGGAGGCATTGTGTTTCCCACCAAGAAATTATATAATACCAAGATAAATTTTAAAAATGCGCTGAGTGAAAGAAGATAAATGCAAATAATAAACACTGTGTGACTCCATCGATAAGAAGATCAAGAGCAGGCAAAAGTGATCTATGGGTTTTCAAAATCAGAATAGTAGTTGCCTCTGGGGAGAGAGTTGACTGAAAATGGGCACAAGGTAACTTTCTCAAATTGTGGGAATGTTCTGGGTCCTTATCTGTATTAATGGATATTTACATTTCTTGAAGCTTTGATCTGTACAGTTAAATTTCTATGTGTTACTGAATGTAAGTTATACCTCAATAAAGTACTGTCGGCATAGAAAGTAATGTTCACATGACTATAACAATGACCAAAACAACAGCACATCAGACATAACCAAAGAAAGAATTGGTGAACTAAAAGATAGAGCTGAAGAGATTACTTGGATTGCATCATGGAGAAAAAGAAATGAGAAACATGGGAGAGAGGTTAAAAGACATGGAGGGTTCCCAGTTGGTGTGGCTCAGTGGATTGAGACCATCATCCCATGCACCAAGAGGTCATGGGTTTAATTCCTGCTCAGAGCACATGTCTGGGTTGTGGGCTTGATCCCCAGGAGGGAGGTGTGCAGGAGGCAGCCAATTGATGTTTCTCATCAATGTTTTATCTCTCCCTCTCCCTTCCTGTCTCTCTAAAATTCAATAAAAAAAAGAAAGAAAAAAAAAAGAGCCCTGGCCGGATTGGCTCAGCGGTTGGAGTGTCGGTCTGCGGTCCAGAGAGACCAGGGTTCGGTTTCTGCTAAGGACACGTACCTTGGTTGCAGTTTGTCCCCGGCCCTCCTGGTTGGGTTGTGCAAGTGGCAACCACTCGATGTGTCCCTTTTACATCGATGTTTCTCTCTCTTCCTCCCACTCAGTCTGAACAAAAAATGGAAAAAATGTTCTCGGGTGAGGATACAAAAAAAAAAAAAAGGAAACATCAGTGAGAGAGACCATCAACTGGCCACCTCCTGCATGTCCCCCACTGGGGATCAGGCCCACAACCTGGGCATGTGTCCTCACCGGGAATCAAACCAGAGACCTCTTGGTGCATAGGGCAACACTGAGCCACATTGGCCAGACTGAACTCTTAAGATTTTCCCCATCAATGCTGGAAGATCCTATGTGTTTATCATGATGGGGTGAGCTTTTCCTTCCAAGGGACTCTGGGGAGAGCAGCTGCTATGCTCACACATCCCACCATGGAATAGGAGACAGAAAAAATGTCCTAAGACTGATGGCTTCCCTAGGACCCCTGAGGGAGAGAAAGAGAACATGCTCCTCCTCAGAACCTTCATCAAGGTGCTGGACTGTGTCCCCGCAGCCACAGGCCAAGTAGCAGCATACAAAGCCCTAGGATCAGCAGAAGCTACATGGGGAGAGGGAGGTTATGCCAGAATGAGGCCAGGAGGTACCAGTGCTGGGGAGGGGTGATCTGACCAATGGAGTGCTGCCTTGGATCACCAAGACCAGGTACCAAGCTGAGACGGAGCTGAGGAGCTACTCAGAAGCTCTGTCCCCACCCCAATACATACACATGCAAAACCTCCCACATGTTCCACCCTGGGGAGCTCCCCAAAAGGTCCTTGAACTTCGGAGCTGGGTAAAGGACAATGGCTTCATTCTTGGACTCTGCCTAGAAGGGGAGCTGACTTTCAGCACCACCATCAACACCTTTGTGCCCTCTTCATTCCAAAACACCCCATGCTGCCAGCTTTTCTTTATTAGGGTGCTAGGAAGTTCTCTCCCTCCTATGGAGCAGGGACTCTGTCCTGTTTAGCCTTATCTTCCCGGTGCCTGGGCAGGTTAGCTCTATCAGGTGCTTATTCATTTAAGGGGTGGAGCTCTGGTTGAGAGGTGAGAAGGATTCGCCAGAAGGGGTGTGGGGGACAGGACAGAGGAGAAAGTTCTTTGAAGAAGGTTGGAAAGAGGGTGAGAAGGTGGAGAGAGTGTGAAGGAAGGCAAGCATAGGACAGGGGAAGGGAAGTTGCCAGGGTCTGACCTGGCAGAGGGAAGGGCCACAAACCGCCCTTGCCCTGGCAGCCCTCACCAGGTGCCACCAGGGACTAGAGGCGGGGCGCTGGCCAGTCGGGGCCTGCTGCCAGGTCCCGCCCTCCGCGGCCTCGGGTCCGCCCTTCTGGGGATTTATCCCTGGCAGCTCTGGAGGCCCGGTAGCCGCCGCTTCCGCCTTTGCCAGGTGAGGGTCCTGGGAACCTGGAGCTCCGGGGCCGGGCCGGGCCGGGGCCGGGGCCGGGGCCGGGGCCGGGGCTGGCGCAGCTGGCGGAGCAGCCATCGCTTGCGGTGCGGCCGCGGGTGCTGAGCCTGTCCTCCTCATCCTCCCATTTCCTACCCCACCGCCTCCTGGGTCCTTTCCTTCCGTGGGAGCGTTTTCTCCTGTCCTCTCGAGCTTTCCTCTTCTCGCCTTGCTAGCAGTCCCTGGCCGCCCAGAGTGCTGGGCTTCCTCCTCCCCCGGCCCTGCTCGGGCCCAGTTCCTAGCCCACCTCTGGGTTCCCATATGGGCTTGGGGCTCTCCGCTTCCTCCAGGTTTAACAATGGGTGTGTGTGGAAAGGAAGAGTTTGTTTGTGCAGGTGTGTGTAAGGAAGAGTTTGTGCAGGCAGCCAGCACCCAGAGTGCCTGGAGCCTTATTTCATAAAGATCAGTGGAGTTGCCTTGAAGCCAAGTTAGACTGACTCAGGTGCGCCCACAGGACTCCCTACCTGGAGATGAGGTGGCTGTAGGCAGTACCTGAGCTTAAATCGCAGACGCCTTATTGGATTTCAGATGTTGCTGCCTCCTGTGTGGGAGAGGCAGTGACCTGAACTCTCTCTGGGCTCGGGGATCAGTATGCCTGCAGAACTCAGGTGTATGTGGACACTCACTGTACCTTGATGTTTTGTGTGTTGTGTGTGTTTATGTGGACCTTGGTTCTGTGGAGTGATGCATCCAGGGGCTGATCAACTGCCCTTTCTCAAGTGCATGTATGTGAGAGGTATGTGGCAGTAAGCCTGGGTGTTTTACTGGAATGTCTCAGATGTGAGAGGACACGTATCCAGGTGTCTCGCATCTTTTGCAGCATATCTGTAGGGGTGTGTGTGTGTGTGTGTGTGTGTCTAGGTGTGGAAGGCAGTGTACCTTTGTGTGTATGTGCACACATATGTGTGTGTTTCTACATGTCCGAGGTTCTGAGTATGGTGGTTGTCATATCTGGGTATCTCTGGTATGTATGTGGTAGGTAAAAATGTCTCATGTGTGTATGAGGTGTCTCAGGTGTATATGAGTGTGTGCAGTGGTGTACCTCAGGTCTGAAAGGGCAGTGTCTCTGGATGTCCTAGGGGTACATGGGCACTGTGCCACAATATCTCAAGAATGAGCAGGGGTGGCTGGTTTTTCCCAGTGGTTAGAGCGTCAGCCTGCGGTCCAGAGAGACCCGCTAAGGGCATGTACCTTGGTTGCAGTTTGTCCCCAGCCCTGGTTGGGTCATGCGGGAGGCAGCCACTCGATGTGTCCCTTTCACGTCGATGTTTTTTATTTCTCTCTCTTTCTCTCCCTCCCACTCTATCTGAACCAAAAAATGAAAAAATGTCCTTGAATGAGGATAAAAAAAAAAAAAGAAGAAGAAGAATGAGCAGGGCAACATACCTGAAGTATGCAATGCTAAAATCTCAGGTGTGAGGGAGGGCAGGTTTCTCAGTGGTGAAGTGGGTCGAAGACCTTGGTCTCGGGCATGGGGAGCATTCTTCCTGGGGTTTGTGTATGTGAGTGGCAGGATACCTGTCTCTGATGTGTCCTTCCTTCTGTACCTGAGTGTTTCTGTTGAATGAGAGTGGAGCTGGGAACCACATCTCTGGTGTCTGAGTGTCTCAGGCACCCAACCTGGTCTTTGTGCCTAGAGGACAATGTACCATCCTAAGGAGTTCTTTCTCCAGACATGCTCCCGGAGGCAGGCTCCCTGTGGCTGCTGAGACTACTCCAGGGCATCCAGCTGGCCCAGTTTTACCGATCCATACTTGAAGAGCTAAATGTTACCAGGCCAGAGCACTTCGACTTTGTAAGACCTGAGGACCTGGATGGCATTGGCATGGGCCGGCCTGGTGAGGAACCCCTATCCTGAGGCCCTAGTCTCTCCTTCTTCAACCTGTTAGTTGCTACACCCTCCCCCTCACCAGCCTTCTTCTTGCCTTTAAATCCCTTGCATCATGTCCCCCCATACTACCCCAGTCCTTTAATTCTGGCCTTCCCCAGCCCAGCGCAGACTGGCTGAAGCTCTGAAGAGGCACCGTTCGGGGCACAAGCCTAAGAACTGGGTCTACAAGGTGTGTGTTTTGGGGTGGGGGTGAGAGGTTTAAAGGGCCAGCTTAGGCTGGGGAATGGGCTGGGCTGAGTGTCAGGGGTATGCAGGGTTCCACACACCTGATTTCCCACCCCTTTTTTAGGTCCTTGGGGGGTTTGCCCCTGAGCAGAAGGATATCACCCCATCCTCAGACAACCCTCCATCCCTCCCTGAGTCAGAGGGGGGACTCAAGTGTCTGATCCCAGATGGTGCTGTGTGCAAAAGGGAGCTGCTGGGCTCCGGCTGCTTTGGTGTGGTGCACCGAGGGCTGTGGACACTGCCTAGTGGCCAGAGTGTGAGTACTCAGGGAGCCTACTTCATTCTGGGTACCTGGGCTAGCTGCCCCCTCTGTTCTGCTGCCCTCTCTGCTCTGGCCCTGGTATAGCTGTTCTCTAGGGTGCCTGATGGTGCCCCCCCCCCCCCCAGGTCCCAGTGGCTGTCAAGTCCCTCCGGGTGGCTCCGGAAGGCTCTGCGGGGACAGAACTGAGGGACTTCCTTCGAGAGGTGTCAGTCATGATGAACTTGGAGCACCCACACTTGCTGCGTCTGCACGGGCTCGTCCTGGGCCAGCCTCTGCAGATGGTGAGGAGACCTGCCGATGCTCCCGGGACAGCCCCGGGCTGAAGTGAAACAGGAGGGTGGGCGGCCAGAGTCCCGTGGGGCTGGACCACAGCTCACGAGGCGCTGGACTCCGGCAGGTGATGGAGCTGGCGCCGCTGGGCTCCCTGCACGCGCGCCTGACCGCGGCGGCGCCTACACCCCCGCTGCCTGTGGTCCTGCTGTTCCTCTTCCTGCGGCAGTTGGCGGGGGCCATGGCGTACCTGGGAGCCCGCGGGCTGGTGCACCGGGACCTCGCTACACGCAATTTGCTGCTGGCTTCACCGTGCACGATCAAGGTGGCTGACTTCGGGCTGGTGCGGCCGCTGAGCGGCGCCCGGGGCCGTTACATTATGGGCGGGCCCCGCCCCATCCCCTATGCCTGGTGAGTGAGGGTTGGGCCCAAGGGAGTTGGTTTAGGGGGCCGGTCCAGAGGGTGAGGACCTGGAGGGCAGTAGCTAGCTAAAGAGGAGTGCAGAGGGAACGGTCCTCTGAGGGAAGCCGGGCCCAGAGGAGTCCATGGGTCTGGAAGGGCTTGGAAAGGAGGAATTCTGGAGACAATGGGAAAGTAGGGGCCGTCTGTGTTCAGGGGCAATTGGAAGTACCGAGGGGCACAGATCCCGCCCCCTTCAGCTGCACTTCCGCAGGTGTGCTCCAGAGAGCCTACGCCAGGGGGCCTTCTCTTCTGCCTCAGACGTGTGGATGTTTGGGGTGACGCTGTGGGAGATGTTCTCTGGGGGCAAGGAGCCCTGGGCCTGCGTCCCGCCCTACCTCATCCTGCAGCTGCTGGAGAAGGACCAAGCCCGGCTGCCTAGGCCTCCTCTCTGCTCCAGGGCCCTCTACACCCTCGCCTTGCGCTGCTGGGCCCTCCACCCTGCTGATCGGCCTAGCTTCTCCTATCTGGAGGGGCTGATCCAAGAGGTGGGAGCCCTTGCATCCCCAGATATACTCAGTCTCTCTTCCCTCCATTCTCTCTCCCAGGGTTCCATGCACAAGACTAACAATACTGACTCCTGGGCTGGGGTCGGGGACCCTTGCTCTGCTTTGAATAGAACAGTCTTTACCTGCAGGGCACTAAGAGCCCTGGGGAGCAGCTTGGGGCTACATAGATGAAGGTTGAAGGGCTGAGGGCTGAAACTGGGCCAGAGAAGGAGCACAGAGCAAAGAGCAGTAGGTTGCAGTGGGTGTTTGACAGGCAGAGGAAAGTTTCAGCGTGGAAGGGGGAAGTACATATGACTAAGGCAGTGGCAGTGCTCAGGGGCTGCCCCAAGGAGGGATTTGTGAGACGTGATAAATAACCAGAGCTAACATATAGAGCACTTGATCTGTTTAAGATACTGCACTAAGTGCCTTACATGTATCCTAATGCATGTTCACTCATTTAATCCTCACAACCCAACAAGTCATTGTTATCTTGATTTTACAGACTAGGCAGTTAAGCCACTAACAATGTAGGTGACTTACCTATAGGTAAACGTTAAGTGAAGGAGTTGGGATCTGAACCAGTCTATCTGACTTCGGACTATTCCCTAAATCACTATACTCTACTATACTCAAACTGGCCCTGGCCGGTTTGGCTCAGCAGTTAGAGTGTCGGCCTGCGGTCCAGAGAAACCCGGGTTCGGTTTCCACTAAGGGCACGTACCTTGGATGCAGTTTATCCCTGGCCCTGGTTGGGTGGTGCAGGTGGAAACCACTCGATGTGTCCCTTTCATGTCGATGTTTCTCTCTCTCTCTCTCTCTCTCTCTCTCTCTCCTCCCTCCCTCCCTCCCACTCTATCTGAACAAAATATGGAAAAGTGTCCTTGGGTGAGGACAAAAAAAAAAAAAATAGTCCTGGCCGATTTGGCTCAGCGGTTGGAGTGTCGGCCTGTGGACCAGAGAGTTCCAGGTTTGGTTCCCGCTAGGGGCACATACCAGAAAAAAAAAAAAAAAAAAACTTTTTAAAAATAATTTTTTATTTTTCAATTATAATTGACATACAATATTATATTAGTTTCAGGTGTACACCCTACTGATTAGACATTATATAACTTACTGAGTGATCATCCCGATAAATCTTGTATCCATCTGATACTACACATAGTTATTAGAATATTATTGACTATATTTCCTATGCTGTTCTTTTTTTTTTTTTTTTAACATTATTATTTATCAATAGAACCATGTTTTTAGCCTGGAGGAAAGAAACATTTTTTATTTTTTTGGTACGTGCCCCTAGCGGGGGCCGAACCCAGGACTCTCTGGTCCACAGGCCGATGCTCCAACTGCTGAGCCAAACCGACCAGGGCCCTATGCTGTTCTTTATATCCCCATGACTATTCTGTTACTACCAATTTGTACTTTTTAATCCATTCACTTTTTTCACTTATCACCTCTATCACCCCTCCCATCTGGAAATGATCAAAATGTTCTCTGTATGTAAAAAGAAATTTTTTTTTTAAATCCTCACCTGAGGATATTTTTCAATTTATCTTCAGACAGAATGAGAGGGAGAGAAACATCAACGTGAGAGAGACACATTGATTGGTTGCCTCCCACATGAGCCAGACCAGGGCCGGGGACGAACTGCAACCGAGGTACGTGCCCTTGGCTGGAATCGAACCCACAACTCATTGGTCTGCAGGCCGATGCTCTACCACTGAGCCAAATCAGCCAGAGCAAAAGAAATTTTTTTTTTAATTACTTTTTTTAGAAAGAAAGGAAGGGAGAAGAGGAAAGAAACATGAATGTGAGAGAAACACATCAATTGGTTACCTCCTGCTAGTAACCTGATTGGGTCTTGGGATCAAACCTACAACCCAGGTACATGTCCCTGACCAGGAATTGAACCCACAACCTTTCTTTGGTGCACAGGCCAACATTCTAACCACTGAGCCAGGGCAAGTTTTTGCATTTTAATTATGATGTGCCTTGGTTTGGGCCTCCTTGGGTTCATCTTATTTGGGACTCTCTGCATTTTCTGAACTTGTATGTGTATTTCCTTAACCAGGTTAAGGAAGTTTTCCATCATCATTTTATTATTATTAAATTATTATTTTTTTAGAGAATAGTTTATTGACTTTTAGAGAGAGAGGAAGGGAGAAGAGAGAAACATTGATGTGAGAGCAGAACATTGAACAGCTGCCTCCTGCATACCCCCTACTGGGGATCAAGCCCGAAACCTGGGCATATGCCCTGACTGGGAACCAAACCAGCAACCTCTCAGTGCACGGGATGATGCCCAACCTAGCCACTCTGGCCAGGGCAGTTATTATTATTTAAAAATTTTTTACCTGAGGAGACTGGCTGGTGTCACTCATGAACCAAGAGGTCACCAGTTTGATTCCTGGTCAGGGCACATGCCCAGGTTGTGGGCTCAATCCCCAATAGGGGACATGCAGGAGATGGCCAATCGATGTTCTCTCTCATCGATGTTTCTATCTCTAAAATCAATAAAGAAAAAAATAATAAATCCTAGCCCAGCTGGTGTGGCTCAGTGGATTGAGTGTTGTCTCATGACTGAGAGGTCCCAGTTTGATTCCCGGTCAGGGCATATGCCCGGGTTGCGGTTTCGATCCCCAGTGTGGGGCTTGCGGGAGGCAGCCCATTGATGTGTCTCTCTCTTATCGATGTTTCTATCTTTCTCCCTTCCTTTCTCTCTAAAAATGCAATGAAAATGTATTTTTTAAAAATCCTTACCTGAGGATATTTTCAATTGATTTTTTTTTTTTTTTTTTTTTTTTAGAGAGAGGAAGGGAAAGAGAAACATCCTGGAAGCACCCCGACTGGGGATCAAACCTGTAACCTAGGTATGTGCCCTGACTTGGAATCGAACCTGCAACTTTCGGAGTGTGGGACGATGCTCCAACCAATTGAGCCATCCAGCCAGGACTCTGTCGTTATTTTAAATAGGATTTCAATTTCTTGCTCTCTCTCTTCTCCTTCCAGCACCCCCATGATGCAAATGTTGGTACACTTGAAGTTGTCCCTGAGGCTCCTTACACTATTCTCATTTTGTTGGATATTTTTGTTCTTTTTGCTATTCTGATTGGATGTTTTTTGCTTTCTTATATTCCAAATTGCTGTTTTGATTCTCAGCTTCGTGTACTCTAGTATTGATTCCCTATAAATTATTCTTCATTTCAGTTAGTGTATCTTTTGTTTCTGACTGGTTCTTTTTTATGGTTTCCATATCCTTTATAAAAAATATATACTTTTGCCCTGGCCAGTTTGGCTCAGTGGTTAGAGCGTCAGCCCACGGACCAGAGAGTTCCGGGTTCAGTTCCTGCTAAGGGCACGTACCTCAGTTGCAGTTTGTCCCCTGCCCCAGTTGGGGTCGTGTGGGTGGCAAACAGTCTATGTGTCTCTCTCACATCGATGTTTCTCTCTCTCTCTTCCCCCCTCTCTCCCTTCCCCCTCTATCTGAAGATAAATGCAAAAAAAGAAAAGACTTGTCCTCAGGTGAGGATAAATATATATATATATATACTTTATATATATATGTGTGTGGGTCATTGGTTGAACGTCAATCCATGCACCAAGAGGTCACTGGTTTGATTCCTGGTCAGGGCACACGCCCAGGTTGTGGGCCTGGTCCCCAGTAGGGGGCATGCGGGAGGCAGCCGATTGATGTTCTCTCATTGATGTTTCTATCTCTTCTGTCCCTTCCTCTCTTCTAAAAATCAGTAAAGGAAAAAAATTTTTTTAAATATATATATATACATACACTTTTATTGATTTCAGAGAGGAAGGGAGGGGAGAGGGAGAAAGAGATAAAATCCTCAGTGAGAGAGAAACATCAGATTGGCTGTTTCCTGTACCCTGGGGATTAAGCCCACCACCTGGGAATGGAACCAGCAACCTCTATGCATGGGACAATCCCAACCAACTAAGCCACAATGGCCGGCCCAATGTCTTTACCAGGGAATAATTTTTCCATTGATTTTTTTTTTTTTTAGAGAGTGGAAAGAGAGAGAGAAACATCGTTGTGAGAGAGACACATCAATCGGTTGCCTCCCACATGACCCCTACCGGGCCCAGGTATTGAACCTGCAACCCAGGTACAAGCCCTTGACTGGGAATTGAACCTGTGACCATTTGGTGCACAGGCTGATGCATCAACCACTGTACCACACCAGTCAGGGTCCCATGTCCTTTTTTAATGCTACTGAAGTTCTAAGTCCATCCACTCTTCCCCTAAGTTCATTGAACTTCCTTATAACAACTGTTTTATTTATTTATTTTTATTATTTTAATCCTCACCCGAGGACATTTTTGCATTTATCTTCAGATAGAGTGGGAGGAAGAGAGTGGGGGAGAGAGAGAAACATTGATGTGAGAGAGATACATTGAGTGGTTGCCACCCACACAACCCTAACCGGGGTGGAAACAAACTGCAACCAAGGTACGTGCCCCTAGTGGGAACCGAATCTGGGACTCTCTGGTCTGCAGCCCAACACTCAACCACTGAGCCAAAACAGCCAGGGCTATAACCACTGTTTTAAACAGTTTTGGTGGGTTTTTTTTCATCCTCACCCAAAGGGCATTTTTGCATTTATCTTCAAAAAGAGCAAGAAGGAGAGAGGGAAGAAAAAGAGAAAAACATCAGTGTGAGAGAGACACATCGACTGGATGCCCATGGGGCTGGGGACAAACTGCAACTGAGGTACACACCCCTAGCAGGAACCGAACCTGAGACTCTCTGGTTCGCAGGCCAACGCTCTAACCATTGAGCCAAACCGGCCAGGGTATAACCACTATTTTAAACACTGCATCTTGTAGATAGCTTGTCTCCATTTTGTTTAGTTCTCTTTTCGCAGTTTTTTACCTTTTTTTTTTTTTTATCCTCACCTGAGGACATTTTTCCATTGTTTTGTTCAGATAGAGTGGAAGGGAAAGAGAGGAAGAGAGAAACATCGATGTGAAAGGGACACATCGAGTGGCTGCCACCCGCACGACCCAGCCAGGGCCGGGGACAAACTGCAACTGAGGTACATGCCCTGAGCAGGAACCGAACCCAGGACTCTAACCGCTCTAACCGCTGAGCCAAACTGGCCAGGGCTTTCCAGAGTTTTGTTCAGTTCTTTCATTTGGGACATGTTTTTTTATCTCCTCATTTTGGCAGCCTCCGTGTTTGTTTATATGTATTAGGTAGAGCTGCTTCATCTCCTGGGCTTGGTAGAGTGGCCTAATGTAGTAGTTGTCCTGCAGGGTCAGTGGCACAGCCTCCACAGTCATCCAAGCTGGGCACTCCAGGTGTCCCCACCCCTTGCTTGTGGGCTGTGTACACCCTCCTGTTGTAGTTGAGCCTGATTGCTGTTGGAGGGATTTACCCGGGCGATTTGGCTGTAAGGACTAGCTGTGACTATCACGAAGGATCAGCTGTGCAGGGGCTCACACCACAAAGCAGGACTTACTTCAGTGGTGCTCTGGTGCCCACTGAGTCCACCCCTTGTGTGTGTCACTTGAGGCTGTGGTTGGGTAGTGCTTTGTTTTTTTCTTTATTGATTTTAGAGAGAGGATGGGAGAGGGAGAGAGAGAAACATCAATGAGAGAGAACAGCAATTGGCTGCCTCCTGCATGTCCCCGACTGGGGATTGGGCCCACAACCTGGGCATGTGCCCTGACCAGGAATCAAACCGGTGACCTCTTTTTTTTTTTGTTTGTTTGTTTGTTTTTTTAGTCCTCACCCGAGGACATTTTTTGATATTTTGTTCAGGTAGAGTGGGAGGGAGAGAGAGGAACAGAGAGAGAGAGAGAAACATCGACGTGAAAGGGACACATCGAGTGGCTGCCACCCACACGACCCAACCAGGGCCGGGGACAAACCGCAACCAAGGTACGTGCCCTTAGCGGGAACCGAACCCGGGTCTCTCCGGACCGCAGACCGACGCTCTAACCGCTGAGCCAAACTGGCCAGGGCAAACCGGTGACCTCTTGATGCATGGGTCAATGCTCAACCACTGAGCCACACTGGCTGGGTGGGTGGTGCTTTGACGTGGTCTGAATCTGTCCACCAGATATGCTGGCTCTGGGGGCTCCTGGAGGTGCAGGCAAAGATCAGCAGCTGCCTGTGTTCTGCCCAGGGCCATCCAGCATGAGCTACAAAGCAATCTGCAGATGGCTACTTGTCCTAAGCTTGGAGGTGCCCAGGAGAGGCCAAGCTGCAAACCTAGGCCAGCTGCCACTAGTGTGGGGCCTGGGGCCACTTAGTGAGATACAGGCTCACTGAGGCCAGATGCTGCTTGTTTGAGAGATTTGGGGGAAAGTCTGAAGTATGAGCCAAGAAAGGCCATGCATATGGAAAAACTACTGGAAACAACTTGGGTGGGCCTGAAAGTTGGTGGGGCAGGGTCTCAGGGAATCGCCAGGGTTGGACAAACAGTGATAGCCAGGTTGACAGAAACTCAGATATGACATCCTCCTGCCAACTTTGTGAGCGAAGGGCTCAGAAAAGGAATAGCCTCTACCAGCACTTCTCTCTGGGAGAAAGCTACCCCTCCAGCACTGGAACTCAGAGGGAGTGAGTCCAAGTAAGTCTGTGCATGGCCCTTTAAGAGGAACTGCCTAGAAGTTCCTCCAACTCTCAGCCACAATTCCCGCTGGTTTTCACAGCCACAAGTTATGGGGACTTCTCTTCCCAGCACTAGAACTCTGGAATGGGGGGCATGGTGTAGGGTTGGAAACCCTCGCTCCTCAAGGGGGGATCTCTGTAGCTGATATATCCCTCCCAGTTTTTTTTTGTTGTTTTTTTTTCACCCGAGGACATTTTTCCATTTTTTGTTCAGAGAGAGTGGGAGGGAGAGAGAGAGAGAAACATCGATATGAAAGGGACACATCGAGTGGCTGCCAACCGCACGACCAACCAGGGCCGGGGACAAACTGCAACCGAGGTACGTGCCTTTAGCTGGAACCAAACCCGGGTCTCTCTGGACCGCAGGCCGATGCTCTAACTGCTGAACCAAACCTGCCAGGGCTCCCTCCCAGTTTTGTCTGCCATACATGGGTGTGGGATCAGCCTGTTCTGCATATCCACACTTCCTACCAGTTTTGATGTGGCTTCTTCTTTATATCCTTAGTTTTAGGATTTTTGTTCAGCTAGATTTCAGACGGTTCTGAATGATGGTTGTTCTGTAGTTTGGTTGTATTTTTTTTTTTATCCTCACCTGAGGACATTTTTGCATTCATCTTCAGATAGAGCAGGAGGGAGAGAGGGGGTAAGAGAGAGAGAAACATCAACATGAAAGGGACACACCGAGTGGCTGCCTCCTGCATGACCCAGCCAGGGCCGGGACAAACTGCAACCAAGGTACATGCCCTTAGCGGGAACCGAACCCAGGTCTCTCTGGACCACAGGCCAACACTCTAACCGCTGAGGCAAACCGGCCAGGGCAAGGGCTAGTTGTATATTTAATATGGTTGTGGGAGGATGTGAGTACCACATTTACCTACACCACCATCTTGACTTGAAGCCTATACTCTACTATTAAAGGAGTTTAGTCTTTACTCTGAGGGCACTTGGGAGTCATGGAAGAGTTCTGAACAGGGAAAGAACAAGACAACTTTACATATTGTATCGCTCTGACCAGGTAGGAGACAATTGCTGTGAAGCAGAAGTTATATGAAGGGGTCTGGATGAGGGTCGAGATAGTGGAGCTGGAGAGAAATAAAACATTTCCAGAGGTGCTTGGGAGGTGGATGTGATGGGCCTGGGCGTGGAGCAAAAACAGTATACAGGATGATGCACCCCTTGATCTCCCTTGTTTGAGACAGCCCCCCCTTTGTTGCCCCTTGACCCCTGAGCTGTGTCCAGCTTGGCATGAAATCCAGGTCTGTCTCCCCCACTGTACTACAAATGAGGGATAGGGACAGTCCCATCCTGGGCCTAGGACAGAGGACACACCTGAAATGGTGCCCTGCTCCATGATACCCTCTCATTCAAGCCACAAGCACAGCCACCCTTTCCTCCTGTCTCTACAGGCCTGGCCTCCTGAGGGACATTGTGTGAGGGATGTCACAGAGCCGGGGGCCCTGAGGATGGAGTCTGGTGATCCCATCACTATCATCGAGAGCAGGTGAGGGCCTCATGTCTCCTATGAATCCCCAGGAGGAGAACTCCCTCTCAACCTGCCTGACCCTGGTTCCTCTTCTGCTTCTTCCCAGCTCCTTCAGCCCTGATCCTCTGCTTCATTCCCTCCTCTGCCCACTGGGCCCTGAGAGCCCTGGCTTCCCGGCTGGAGCTACCAGGGGCCCAAAGAGCCCTTTTGTGTCAGGGGGAAAAGGCTTTCCTTCCTCCAGCAGATGCAGCTCCATGGCACGCAGCTTGTGAGCTGAATGCAGGTGGGAGCCCAGCCTCCACTGCCCCCTTCACCAGCCTCTTCCCACAGCCCCAGCTCCACAACCTGGAAGGGCCAGAATGGTCGCACATTCAAAGTGGGCAGCTTCCCAGCCTCGGCAGTGACGCTGGCCGACTTGAAGGGCTCGCCAGCCACCTGTCCAGTCCACAGAGGCTCCCCTGCCTGGGGAGAGCAAGGCCGGGGGAGCATAGATGGGTGAGGACCTGAAAGAGCTGGGGACAGAGCTGGGCTGGGGGGATCGACCAAGTTCAGCAAGTGCTCTGGGAGGGAAGCTTAGGGAGCGGCCAGGGTAAAGCTGGGAGGCTGGACTTGCCTTCCAGGTAGAGCTTCCACTCTGGGTCTCAATAAACTGGGGATCCCCGGAGATTCTTTGGGAGATTCTTATATGGGGTAGGGGTGGGGTGGAAAATGAAACTGGATCTCTGTCCACCAGGGTCAGAGTGAAGGCAAAGCTTCGGGAGCTACCTCCCGCACAGGGTCAGAGAAGGAATGCGCCCCTGCAGAGGATGAAAGGTGAGTGTGGTGTGGGGGCAGGGCCCCAGGGTCTCTGAGATCAAGAACAACCCTCCAGTTCCACCCCCTGCTCTGAATCCATGCCTTTATATAAGATTTCCTCATAGATGCGACTTCCTTCCCTGACTTCATTCTGCCTGTTGACGCCCCAGCTGTCCTTTAAGATCTGCCTTCTCCACTGAATAGCATCTCCCCATTCAGCACCTGCACGCAGTTCTTTGGGTACTTAGCTGTCTAGGCCTGGGAGTCTGTTCTGCACATCTGTCTTACTGACCCAGCTAACACAAGGACCACCTGGGGACAGACAAGTAGACAGAGGATGGGAAGAAGGCAGGGCCCAGCATCTGGGATTCCTCTTAAATTGTTTTTTTTCTCAACTGTGCAGGCATTTCCAAGAGTCTGGAATCTGTTCTGTCCCTGCGCCCCTGCCCCACAGGGGGTGGTTTGAGCCCCCCTGAACTTCGAAAGGCCAGAAATGTGCCTCAGGGACCCCCAGGCCTGCCACCTCGCCCTCCCTTTGCCTCCAGCTCATCTCAGCCCAGCCAGCCCCCCAGGGAGCGGCCTTCCTGGCCCAAAAGAGAACCCCTGCACAATCACCCCTTGGGAGCACCTGGAGCCACCAAAGCCACTGGTCTCTCTGGAGGTCTCTTGCCCGACCCTGAGTTGCACAAGAGGGTTATGGAGGTGAGGTCTCCCGAAAGTGGCCTGGTGTTCAGAAGGGGCAACAGGCTAGGGTAAGAGGCTAAGTGAGGCTTTGTCCTGTTTAGGTGCAGCTGAGCGTACATGGAGTCACCCATCAGGAGTGCCAGGTGGCACTAAGAGCCACTGGAGGAGATGTGGTTTCTGCCATCCGGAACCTTAAGGTAAAGCCAGACCCTTCTCTTGGGCTCCCATCTCTCCTGCTCCTGCCCTCTGGCTGTCAGCTGCCCTCCCTCCTGCTTCCACAGGTAGACCAGCTCTTCCACCTGAGCAGCCGGTCCAGAGCTGACTGCCGGCACATCTTGGAGCATTACCAGTGGGACCTCTCAGCGGCCAGTCGCTATGTCCTGGCTCAGCCCTAAGCTCTGTTCCTTTAGGCATGAACATCAGCATGCACCAAGGGCCTGGCCACGTGGGGCCAAGCAGAACCAGAACAAGGTCCTGCAAGGGCATACTTTCCCACCCGAAGAGAGCCTGCTATAGGCAGGTACAAGAGGAGTCCAGGATCAGGCACTGATGAGTGTCTCCTCCTACCCTGCCCCTTGGCCTCTGAGGGCTCAAGCTCCCTTGGCTGGGTTACAGACAGATCTAGTCCGCTCTGCCCACCACATTTCCAACCAAAACGAGGACTTGGAAGAATAGAGTTGCTTCACATCATACCCATAGGAAGCTTCTACTTGCTACAGAGGATGATCAAGTGGCCATGCTGAACCATGGGAACAACCATCCTGAGCTGCCTTCAGCTACCACACTGAGCCCTGTGGGAACAGCCATTTTGGATGATGGAAGCAGCCATACTGACTTGGGGCACATGGCACAAACTGCCTTGGCTTGGGCTGGGGCTATCAAGGGTGAGGAAATTGGATCATGAGATGAGACAGGCCAGCCCCACCCAGCCCAGCTGTCATAGTTCCCTTTGTTTCTTCCCACAAACTCTTTCTTCTGCCCTCTCCCATTACATATATCTTCCAATGTCCAAAAAATTACAAAGTTTATAAGAATATAACATACAAAGATGCAGCCTCCTTTGTAGGAACAGGGAAGGGGTGGTTAAGTAAGGCACATGAAGCTGCAGCAAGCACCAGCTGTGGGCAGGGCCCAAGGGGGAGAGGAGTTGGCACTGGAGCCTAGGCCCTAAAGCTATCACTGTGGAAGTGGGGATACCCTCTGAGTGCCATGTTCTGAGGCTGAACTAACTGGTCAAGCTGATGCAGGGAAGGGTGACCATATCAACCATCTTTGGTGTTGCTTACCCTTCCCCACCCCAGCTCTGTTGTAAAACTCCAGAGCCCGGGATTCCAAAGGCCTCAGCCAGAGCAGAGGTCCTGGAAGGGGGTGGGAGGAAGTGAGTAAGGAAAGTTTGAAAGCCGATTGCCGGAAACAGTGCTGAGAGGTAGCAGGGGAAGGGTTCTCATACATACCCTTCTGTGGGGACCACAGGTGAAGGAGGCCAGGGGAGTAGGGTAGGGATGGGGCACCATGGCCCCCAGCTTCTTAGGCATCCCTATCTGTCCTCTGCAGTATACATGGAGGAAAGAGGCTGCCTCTGAGGAAGGGCCAGGCCAGGGCAGGTGACCATCTTGAATTCTGGTTGAGGTGATGGTCTCCTCACCCTGAGACGCCGTCTAACTGGTGATGGCAGAGGGCCCAGTGCCTCCTCGCTTCTCGAAGAACATGTAGTCCTGAGGGGAGGGTGCTGTCAATAGGCGATGTGGCTGGGCCGGCCTGGCTCAGCTCTCATAACCCAGGTCTGGAACTGCAGCCCCCGATAAAGTCTGTCCCTAAACCTTTCCTAGCAGGAGGCCAGGAAGTACACAAAGCCTCCAGTGGGAGCAAAGGAGGGGCAGCCAACTCACAATGAGGAATGTAGCTCCCAGCAGTACAGCCTTCACTCTCACGTCCAGATCCAGCGGGAACTGCAAGCCAAAGTCATCTGCATCCGTGAGGGCTTCTTGGAGCAGCCCCCCCCACTGCTTGCTGATGCGGCCCACACTACGGGACTCGTCCACGGTCTTCACCTATCAGGAGGGAGAGAGGGAAGAAGAAAAGACCCAACTAGGGTGGATGCAACTGCTCTCACCTGTCTCCAATCTCACTCCCACTGTCACCCTGTATGAACTATGCTGGCTCCACACTTAGTGAATCCCACTAACAGCCTTGGGTTTCCATGTGACTTCTGAGGAAACTGAGTCACCGTAGAGCACACTGTGAGTATAGAGCAAAAATCAGGAGTAAGCCCTGGCCGGTTTTACTCAGTGGTTAGAGCGTCGGCCCGTAGACTAATGAGTCACGGGTTCGATTCCAGTCAAGGGCACGTCCTCTGTTACGGTTCGTTCCTGGTGCTGGTCAGGGTCATGCGGGAGGCAACCAGTTGATATTTCTCTCTCTCCCTCTCTCACCCTCTTTCTTCCTCCCATTCTATCTGAAGATAAATAGGAAAAAAAAAATCCTCGGGTGAGGATTAAAAAAAAAAATCAGGATTCAGACTTAGATCTGCTCCTCTTCAAGGGCCATACATGACAACTAAACATCAGTGGTGAGAGAAATGGAAGTATAATAAAGTCTGATCTCCTTAATGTATGGCTGGTTGCTAGGTCTGTTTTTATTACCAAAGTCCCTGCCACCCACATATAGTGCAATTTGTGCCCTGCACAAAGTAGCTTAGCCAAGAGGGCAAGAGACGTGCTAAAACCCTGGCTGCACCCTATTAGCCAACCAGCTCCTAGAAGGCTGTGTCTGCCCAAAGGGTGCCTTTCCTCTGCACAGTAGGGCGGGCCCTGTCTGGCACTGCATGCAAGCCTCAGCTAGAGGGAAGGGAATCCAATCCCATCTACTGGGGGGAGAGGGCAACAGTAAGTAGCCTCTGAGGAGCACTGGACCCTCTGGGCCCAGCAGCAAGGCCCTGCTGATTAAGATGGTAATTCAGAGTGACTCCTTGGTCCTTCTCCTATGCTCATCCTCCAGTGATTAGAACTAGCATGATATCCTTCTATGTCCTTCCCATCCTCTTCCCTCACTGTCCTATACCTCGGGGACACTTCCTGCTGACCAATCTGATGCTGGGCAGGGTCTCTCCTAGCCAACCTTGGGGTCCCAAGAGTACAGCCCCAAATATGGACCATTCATAATTATGTAAAAGGGAGAGTGGCCCTATGAGAACCCCACAGTCTACACATTTCCACCCAGAAGTCACCAAGTTATCTCTCCCAACCAGTTCCTATCACAGAATCTCCCCTCAGCTGCTAAGGTGATTCAGTTTTTAAAAGTAACCTTAGGTAGGACACCTCATCAAATGCCTTGGGAAGTCTACTGGATTATGCCTATTGTTTCTCCCTTATCTGCACAGGTAATTATCCCTTAAATAATCCAAGGGTTTGGCCCTGGCCTGTGTCTCAGTTGTTTGGACATTGTTCCATGTACCACCAAAAAAAAGGTTGCCGGTTGGATTTCCTTTCAGGGCACATGCCCAGTTGCAGGCTCGATCCCTGGTAGGGGGAATGCAAGAGGGAGCGGACTAATGTTTCGTTCTCACATCGATGTTTCTCCCTCTCTCTCCTTCTCCCTTCCTCGCTCTCTAAAAACTCAATAAAAAGCCCAGGCAGTGTGTCTCAGTGGACACACTGAGAGGTCCCATGGACTGAGAGGTCCCAGTTCCATTCCCAGTCAGGGTACATGCCTGGGTTGTGGACTCAATCCCTGGTAGGGGGTATGTAGGAGGCTGCTAATCGATGTTTCTTTCTCACATCAATGTTTCTATCTCTCACTAAAAATATCAATAAAACATTTTTTAAATGATAATTTAAAAAAATAATAAAAATTAATTTAAAAAATCTTTTTTAAAAAAATGCAAGGATTCAAGGGTCTGTAAAGTGCCTTTGTCTTCTAGAAGCAAAGGTGCTTCCCTAGCCTCACCCTGAAACTGTCACCAGTTGGTTCTCTAGGCTCCAGGTGGTGGAATGCATGGTGAGAAGGATGTCACCTGAATTCCAGGTTGGAGGGGCCATTTGGACTTCTAGATTGGCAAGGCAAGCCGCAGAATGTTAATACAGTAAACCCTTGATTTAATAGACTTTGGATTTAACAGACAAAATTTCCAGTCCATATGTCATATGTGAAAATTAGCGCCCTGTTAATTTTTAAATGCTTTTAACCAGGGTTTGCTTATAATTCAATTAATAGGTTATTTTTGTGTTATTAGTTCACTGTTTTGGTTTTTTTTTTTAATCTTTTTTTTTTCTTTATTGATTTTAGAGAGAAAGGAAGGGAGAGGGAGAGATAGAAACATCGATGAGAGAGAACATCGATTGGCTACTTCCTGCATGCCCCCCACTGGGGATCAGGCCCACAACCTGGGCATGTGCCCTGACCAGGAATCAAACCAGCGACCTCTTGGTGCATGGGTCTATGCTCAACCACTGAGCCACACCGGCCAGACACTGTTTGTTTGTTTTGTTTAATCCTTATCCAAAGATATTTTTCCATTGCTTTTTCAGATAGAGTGAGAGAGAGGGAGAGAGAAGCATCAATGTGAGAGAGACACATAGACTGGTTGCCTCCTGCACAATCCCAACCAGGGCTGGGGACAAACCGCAACCAAAGTATGTGCTCCTGACTGGAATCAAACCCATGACTCTTTGGTCCACAGGCCAATGCTCTAACCGCTGAGCCAAAATGGCCAGAGTCACAATGGCCAGAGCCACTGTTATTTTTAACAAATTTTAGTGAATAGACTATATGTTGGAAAAAACACTGTAATAATTTCACGGACATAAATAAATATTATATATCTACAACTATAGTCTACATATTTAAATCCAAAAGTCACCACTTGTAAACAATGTTTGGTGAATGATTAGCACATGATCACATCACATCCAGCATAGCATTTGGCTCTGTTGTCTTGTGGTGTGACTTTCTACAGCAGTTTTTTGTTGTTGTTGTTTGTTTTGTTTTGTTTAGAGAGAAAGAAAGAGAGAGGGAGAAGAGAGAGAAACATCGATGCAAGTGAAACATTGATCAGCTGTCTCCTGCATGTGCCTCAACCAGGGATGGAACCCAAAACCCGGATATGTGCCCTGACCAGGGACGGGACCAGTGACCTTTCAGTGCATGGGACCATGCTCAGCCAACTGAGCCACAGCGGTTAGGGCTCTTCAGCAGTTTTAACGAGTATCGGCTGATGTTCCAAGGTACACTAAGCCATGTGCATTTGTTTACTCACAGTGACTGGTGAATGCACATATGTACTAGACCTATTGAGTATAAATTTAAAATGACTGTAATACATATAGAAAACTCTTTTGTGAAATTAAACTGTTCATACGTACTTAATTTTAATTACACTAACATGTCTACATAAGTAAAAACAGGTAGATGAACTAATTTGTCACTTTTTTTTTAAACATATGCATTCAGAAAACCTACTTTATTATATAACAGACTTTCAGCTTTAATGGACACCCCCTGGCCCAAATTAGTCCGTTATATGGAGGTTTTACTATAAGTTAAATTAGGTTTGCTCCAGGGCCTGAGCTCATGAACTCATGCATAGCAGTCACACGAGTTCAACCCACAGCAGACTCAATAATCATCCTTCACCCAAAATCCAGCCTGGCCTTAGATTGTTTTCCCCCTCAACACAGGGCTGCTGTTAACAATTACCACTGGCCCTCATGATGAAACCCTCTTTGTCATGCTTTTTTATAAGACCACAGAGCCATCCTATTTCTAAATGGAGGAACAGTGGAAATGTGGTAGGAGTCAGTGAATTTGGATGATAAACTCAATGTCTTGACCTTAGTGTTGGCCATCCTGCTTTGTGGAAGCTGCCATCTTGGTTTATGAAGGTCCCAGGAATCTCCCCTTATTCTTGATACCTCAAAGTTGGTGTCTGTGCCACAGCCACAGGTCCAGCAGGGCCCCACCACTCGCAAGACTGTATGGCGATCGGCATCCTGAATGGAGAACTTGGGGAGGAAGGGATGCCAGGTCTGTAGCACATGGCCAATGGTGGTGCCAGGTGGAGACTGTACTTCCATCTGGAGTGAGAGGCAGACAGGGTTACTGCTGAGCCAGGGAACCCTGGCCCAAGCTCTCACCATTCCAGCTCCATCACATCTTCCTTCACAAGACTTCCCATCCCCTTTACTAGACCACCTGTCATCCCCCTCAGTAGACCTCCAGTTCCACCTGTTCACGCCCATGCCTCATGCTGGTGATGCTCCATCATTAGTCCTTTGTATTATCGACCGCCTCCTACCCGAAACTCTCCCTGACCCATTCCTCCCCACCCACCTCCTGGAGGTTACACGGGCAGCAGCCGCAGCCACAGTGGAGGGGGCGGAGCAGGCGTAGCACCTCTCGGTCACTGGGATCCACTAGGCGGACACGAAGGGGTCGGCGGGCACCACAGCACAGTCGGGCGCAGCAGCTGCTCTCTTCAGCCGCCTGACCCAGGGGCTGTCCGGCCCCTGAGCGCAGTTCATACCGGTTACTTGTCTCCCAGCCTAGGAGCGCTGCCAAGGAGTGACACGGAGACTCAGGCTCCAGGGCCTGCCCAAGAGCCCACTATCTCTGCCCCCGTCCTTCCACTCACTTTCCAATCGCTCAGCCTTCTGGTGAATCAAGATCTGATCAATCTGTAAGGAGAGTAGGGGCCGCATCCACCTCAGCTGGCAGCCCTGAATGTTTTAGTCCTTTCCCTTTGGCTCCTCCCTACCCACCTCCCACTTACCTGCACCAAGAATTCGAGCCCAGAAGGCACCCCGGGCAGTGGCAATAAGGGGGCAGCAGGCCCCGGGGCACCTGGGCCGGGCGAGGGGAAGACAGCGAAGCCAGGCGCAGGGGCAGGTGCGTGGGCGGGCACTGGCGCCTGCCCAGGCCCAGGATGCTGCGACGGCTCTGGGTACCCAGCGGTCACAGGGTAGGGAGGAGGGGGAGAAGGGATGTAGCCTTTGGGGGGCAAGTATCCTGTGGGGGGAACAAGGGTAGATTAGAAAGGGACCTTACCCCTTGGCCCGTGGGGGACCTCGAGGCTACGGGGAAAATGTGGTGAGAGGAGACTGAAAAAGATGGGGCGCGGGAGCAGGGCGGCGGCTGCCTGAGAGGAAGGGAGGGGCCCCACCCAGCCGGTCCGAACACATTCCCGGAGGATGCGTTCGACCCCTGGATCCCAAGTCCGTAGGGGGAATAACAGAGACCCTCGGCCTTGCGCCCACCTACCTGCCATGAGAAAGGGATGAGCGTTCGCGGGTTATCCGGTGTGCCGGAAACTTACTTCTACAAGTGGAGGCAAGCTCGGGGACAGCCAGACAGATACAGAGACAGACACAAAGACGGACACGCAAACGCGGAGAGGCGGCTGCGCCGGGCGCCGGCCCAGGGTCTCTTGGGCGACGCCTCTGACTCGGGGAGAAACCGAAAGTGTCAGCGCGCGGGACAGAGTACCTGGGACCCTGCATTCCCTCTGGGGTTTCCAGAACCGCCCCCTCCCTTTGTTCTCCCATTCTCCGCGGAGGCGGCTCTTGGCAGACGGCAGGACAGATGGACCCGCGATCAGACCGACGGCCGGACCTCGAGGGAGGTTTCCTGACCCCTCTGCGCCCCCAGCTCACCTGAAGCCCCTAGAATAGTCGGGTTGCCCAGCACTGGAAGGCTCACGCGAGCTAGTGGAGGCGGACCCAGAATATGACCCCGCCCCCACCAGCCAAGCCCCGCCCATCTGGCCTGGGAGCCGCGCTTGCGCAGAAAGGATGCCGGCTCCCCGGCTTGGCCACGGACCCAAGACCGCGGGCTCTTTATCCCGGTGGGCGTCCCCGCCCCTTCCGTTTGACTGCGGAAGGCCGGAAAGGAAGTTCTCCCGGAGAGATCTGCAGGCTGAGACCTGGCCCTGCTGCCCTCGCCTGGTGTGTGGGTGCAAAGTGCTCAGCGCCCCTCCTTGGCACCGCTTGGGACCCCAGGCTCCTCCTCTCAAGGGTGGTTCGGGCCTCGCTGACGGAGCGGAACACCCTTCACACTCTCCTTCATTGACCTCTTGGACTAGCTCCTGGCTCCCTTTCTAACTCTCTGGGGTTACCTGGCCATCTCTTATCCCTGAGGCAGTAGTGACTCACATAAATACCTTGCAATGACAGTACTTCTTAAAGGCATGACCAGCCAGGCAGGTGACAGGCTGCCAAATAGTGTCACTAGTGAGTGTGCAGGAGGTTAGGTTCAGGGGGACCAGAGGAAGCAGTGCAGTTAGCAGGAAAGGCTTCCCCCAGAAGGAGTCCCTTCTTTTGGGTACTGAGCAGAGGCCCCAGTTGTGAGGGAGTCCTGTGCCTTGAGGGCCTATAGGAGAAGTGGCAAGAGGTGAGTTTAGAGAGAGAGGCCAGCCCACATGCACAAAAGGCCTTGGGGAGATGGGACTTGGCCCCAAGGGCAGCAGGGAGCCCGTTGAAAGATTTTTAAAAATATTTTTTATTGACTTTTTAGAGAGAGGAAGGGAGATAGACATATCAATGTTAGAAACATCATGGGCTGCCTCCTGCACGCCCCCTTCTGGGGATGGAGCCCTGAAGCCCAGCATGTGCCCTGACCTAGAATGGAACCAGGACTTCAGTCCATGGGAGGAAGCTCAATCCACTGAGCTACACCAGCAGGGCCCCATTGCAAAATTTTAAGACCAAATTTAATTAGGAAAAATTTAAGGTCAAATTTTTGTTTTAGAAAAACCACTAAAACTGCAAAGTGGGAAAAAATGGGGACACCCAGGCTGGGTTGTTGGCAATAGTCTGGGGGAGAGGATAGCCGTGGTAGTGCAGACAGACTGAAGTGGCTGACCGTGGAGATTTTAGACAATATAGAACTTGCTTGGGGGATAAGATGTGGCAGCAAGGAGTCCAGGAGGACCTCAGGTGCCTGTCTGTTGACCAGGCAAATGAAGGAGAAACTCATTAAGATGAACATAGGGAATAGCTGGTTTGGTGAGCTCCTTAGTCTGTACGTCCATGTACCTTTGGGCTGGTCAACTGCTCCCACAGCTTCAGTCATCATCTGCTTCAGACGAGGGCTTGGCCTTTCCCCTGGTATCCTTTAGTGCCTCAGATTCTACATGGCCCAAACTATTTAGTGAGCACCTACTGTATGTCAGACAGCATTTAAGGTGATAGGAGTATATACCAGTTAAAAACAATTTAAAAAATTCCTGATGCCCTGGGGTTTACATTCCAGTGAAGAAGAGACAGATAATGTAAATAAAATACATCAGAAGTCAGCCCAGCTGGTATGGCTCACTGGTTGAGCATCGACCCATGGACCAAGAGGTCACTGGTTCGATTCCCGGTCAGGGCACATGCCCAGGTTGGGGGCCTGATCCCCAGTGGGGGGCATGCAGGAGGTGGCCAATCGATGTTCTCTCTCACTGATGTTTCCATCTCTCTCTCTCCCTTCCTCTCTCTCTAAAACAATAAAGAAAAATAAAATAATGATGGCTTGGGCCAGGGGCAGCGGTAGCAGTGCAGGTGGTGAAAATGGTCAAATTCTAGTTATGTATTTGAGCCAACAGGACTTGATGATGGCTTGGATATAGGATGTGAGGAAAAGGGAAGTCAAAGTTGACTCAGGTTTGGCCCAGGAGACCCTTCACAGTGGGAGCTCCACCTTACTGTTTTGCCGTTTCCTGCTGCTTATTCCATCCTGAGCTCCAGACACTCCTGTTCTCCCTCCTGTTTAGTTACCAGTATGATCTTGTCCCCTTTTTTCTGGTGAACTACGCATGCTGAAAACCCAGCAGGTGGATAGAAGTCTTACCAGTCCCCAAAGGCAAAGCAAGCCCACCTGTTTCTACTAGTAACACTGAACACATTGTATCAGATTGTGTTTAAAAGGGTCTGTCTTCATTGTTGAAATCTGTGATTCTTGGTATGTACAGAAGGAAAGAACTTAGCTCTAAGAACTGAAGAGAGTTTGAATCACAGCTTACCCAGGTCCTAGCTGTATGATACAGAGCAAGTTACTGTATCTCTTAGCTTTACTTTCCACTAATGTTCAGGACTATTGAGACACAATGTAACAACAGGGACAAATTATCAAGCAGGCCTTACTTATACTGGTTCCTCAAGAGCCCAGCCCACTGGCAGGACCAAAGCTAAGGTATTAGAAATCACATTACATGGAGGGTGGCTATTTCAGAAGCTAAAGTCTCCTCCACCTGGAGGTTCCCTATGTCCCAGACACTAGATGGAAATGCATCAAGAGCACTAAACTGGGAGGTAGGAGCCTGAGAATCCAGTGTTGGTCTGCCACGGGCATTCTAGGTCAGTCACTCTGGGGCCTATTTTACTCAGCTTTAAATGAAGAACTATTGCCCAGCCGGTGTAGCTCAGTGGTTGAACATCGGCCCATGCACCAAGAGGTCACCAGTTCAATGATTCCCAGTCAGGGCATATGCTCAGGTGGTGGGCCCAATCCCCAGTAGGGGGCATGCAGGAGGCAGCCAATTGATGTTCTCTCTCATCAATATTTCTCTCTCTAAAAAAAAATCAATAAAGAAAAGTGTCTATTGCTTAAAATAAATAAATAAATGAAGAAATATTGTGATCCTCTAATACACCTCAAATCATATCTCCTCCCTGGATATAAATGCTTCAGGGGCTACCCACTGTCCTCAGAAAACAGTTCAACCTCTCAGTACAGTCTCTCTACCATTTGGCCTCTACTATCTGCATCTTTCACTACTGACCCTGTCATGTTCTTCAAACCAGTCACCAGGAATTCTTTCAGGTCGCAAAACCACTGGGCTCTCTCTTGCTTCAGGGCTGCCTTGAAAGGTCTTGCCTGGTCTAGAACATGCCCCTTTCTCTCATCACCTAACTCCTTCAAGACTCCATTGAACACTCTACTATACTGCAGCTGCTGCAGGAGTCTGGAGCTCAGTAGGAAGTAGGGTGGGAGACAGAAATTTTGGATTTAAAAGTATGCAGGTCTTAATTAAAGGTGTGGGCTGAATATTATTACCTAAAAATCCTCAGAGAAATGGTCTGTACTTTTTTTAATGCACACCTTCAGAAAAAGTAAGTATGCACCTCCAGTATACTATACAGATGCATATTATAAAACATACAAAGGTAGATTTTTAGAAAAAAAAATTCTTTTTATTGATTTTAGAGAGAGATAGAAATATCGATGAGAGAGAACATCAATTGGCTGCCTCCTGCATGCCCCCCACTGGGGCTTTGGCCCACAAGCTGGACATGTGCCCTGACCAGGAATGGAACCAGCAACCTTTTGGTGCACTGGTTGATGCTCAACCGCTGAGCCACACTGGCTGGGCCAAAAGTAAATTGTTTTTGTTTTGTTTTTTCATTTATCTTGAGAGAGTAGGAAGGAGAGAAGGAGGAAGAGAGAGAAAGAAACATCAATGTGAGAGAGACACATTGAGTGGTTGCCACCTACATGACCCCAACAGGGCCAGGGACAAACTGCAACCGAGGAACGTGCTCTTAGTGGGAACCGAACCCAGGCCTCTCTGGTCCACGGGCTAATGCTCTAACCGCTAAGCCAAACCGGCCAGGGCCAAAGGTAGATTTTTATTTTATTTTTATTTTTTATCCTCACCCAATAGAGTGGGAGGGAGAGAGAGGAAGAGAGAGAGAGAGAGAAACATCGATGTGAAAGGGACACATCAAGTGGCTGCCACCCACACTACCAACCAGGGCCGGGGACAAACTGCAACTGAGGTACACGTCCTTAGCAGGAACCGAACCCGGGTCTCTCTGGACCACAGGTTCATGCTCTAACCGCTAAGCCAAACTAGCTAGGGCCAAAGGTAGATTTTTAAAAGAACAAAATTAAAATATGTATACATAGGAGTTCTAATTTTTTAATTAAAATTTAGAAACCCTTGATTTAAGCTGCATAGGGGAGAAACTGGCAAAGTACCACAGAGATGGGGAAAACCAGAGAGTGGTGGCATAGAAGCAACATGTGTTTCAAGGATAGTGTGGCCAACTGTGTCAAATGCTGCAGAGAGGCTGAGGAAAATGGAATTGAAAATCATCCATTAGATCTGGCAACCAAGAGGTCATAATGAGTCATGCAATCCTTCCAAGGGCATATATGGGGAAGAAATGCAAAACTGACCAGAGCTCTGGCTGGTTTGGCTCAGCGGGTAGAGCATTGGCCTGCGGTCCAGAGAGATCTGGGTTCGGTGCCTGCTAAGGGCACATACCTCAGTTGCAGTTTGTTCCCGGCCCTGGTTGGGGTCATGCGGGAGGCAGCCACTTGATGTATCCCTTTCATGTCAATGTTTCTCTCTCTCTCTTTTCCTCTGTCTCCCTCCCACTCTATCTGAACAACAACAACAACAAAAGGAAAAATATCCTCGGGTGAGAAATTCCAAGTGTCTGCCTGCAAAGCCTGCACTGACCATCCAGGACCCCCTAATCACTCACTACATGTTGACCTCACTGGTTTTGCTTTTACAAACTCATCCAATTTTCTCCTGCCTCAAAGATTTTGAACTGCTCCTGTTTGGCCTGTTTTGCCAGCTATTCTTTCTGCTTAGAATACAATTCCTTCCAACTTTGTGCAGTTAGTTTCAGCTTCAAATGGACCTCCTGTGAGGCCTTCCCATCTAAATGGGCACACCCTGCACT